TGTTTGTTTGTTTGTTTGTTTGTTTGTTTGTTTGTTTGTTTGTTTGTATGTATGTATGTATGTGTGGGTTGGTTTGAAAGATATTAAAGCGTTTGAACATGCTTGAGCATGCCCCACGTTCAATTCAATCCAAAAGCTGAGGCCCTTCTTGTAGGATCTGAAAAAGCATTTCATCAAGGTGCATTGGTGTTTGGGGTCAGTTTGGGGTGGTAGTTTTGGATGAAGGACGAAGTGTAGCAGAACCCACGGCCGGGGTGGTGACACCCGTTTGAGGGTCCCCGGCAGAAGAGTCTTTGAGACTGGCGAAGAGAGAACATGTGCATGGAGATGCGGAAAAACATGTGCACCTTCGGCAGGTAGAGAGAGAACATGTCGAGGAGAAGACATGTCGGAGCCAAAGGATTTCTGGTCCAAGCCCCACCTACAGTACGTGCACAAACACATGTGGATGGAGGAATTCGAGCAAAAAGAACTCGATGGAACATGGTGGAACAGTTCCATTATCTTTCCATACCGTCATGATCAATCGGACGTCCCTTCCGTCAAGTTCAACTTGATACTTAAAAATATCTCTCCCTTTACCGTTGCGCCACCCCTGTGACTGTCTCTTCTATCACAAGCAGCCCTCACTCTCTGGAAGCTCTCCAAGTGCAACAGCAACTGCCGCTTGGACCTGCATGTGCTTTCCACAAAAGAACGGCCCCCCTGATCTCAGCCCCAAGGGGAACGCTTGGGGAATGTTTTCTTGGGGATGATCTGGCCAAAAAAAAATGCTCTTGAAGTGGACTTACTTATGTGACGGGTGATGAACAACTAGGCCGGCTGGCCAATTTTCTGGCTTCCGGCTCACCATTGATCATCAACACGCGGGTTAAGAGTTGTTGTGTGCACGCGTGTCTGAGAGGATCCTTCTATATCCTTTTGGATGGTCCCGACCGACCTAACCGAAGGCCGTTCAAAACAACAGATTCACCCCTTTTTGATGGTCATGGACGTTTTTCCCCAAACCCTGACCGGCACAGGGCCTCAGGACCGCGAGGGCAGCTGGAAGGAGCAGCTGTGGCTGCTGCCAGGCCACAATGAGATGATCCCATAACACCTGAGCAGCTTGAGGTTTAGCACTTCGAGGTGGTGTCCAGTGGAGATCCCAACAAAGGTTGAAGAGCCCTAGTTCGACTATCCCAGTTCGGAACCCCAGGTTAGGGTCCTCTAAGGCCACTTAACCCCTCTTGGTCTAGAATTAGTGTAGTTAAATCCTATACTAGGACCCACAGTCGGGGTGGTTAATGGACAACACTTAACCTCTTTTCAGGGCTATCAATAGACACCCCTGGCCCGGGTGTCCTGGTATGTGTGCGTGTAACAAGATGCCCTCCAAACTTGGACAACCTCCTGTTTGTAGAGGAAAATGGTCCTTTCCAGGCAAAATGGTCCTTTCCAGGGACTATGTTCTATTTTCTGCTTCCATGACTGAGTTGGAGGGAGAGTATGCATTCCCTAGGGGTCGAGTCGTGCCTTCTCAGGTAAGGAAGGAGACACTGTCATGTAGGTGAGGAGGGTCCAGTCGTACCGAACCTGAGAAGGTATGACTGGATCCCTAGGGCTTCGCCCAACACAGCAGCCTGACTCAGATTCGAGAGCCATGGAGCCGCCTAGGTTCCCCTCTGCTAGACTGTGCACTAGACGGTATATGTTTGCCTTTGCGACCGTTGTGCATCGTGTTTCTTCACCTGTTTGAGAAACCACCTGGTTTTTTCCAGTCACGGCACAAGCCATGAAGACCGTGGCAACGAGCGGGACAACAAGCAGCTCACCTCATCAGGCCACGAGAAGAAGTGGACGGTCAAGGCGATGGTTGGACGGTCAAGGCGATGGTTGATCTGGAAAGTGAACCCACTAGTGATCCCCAAATGGATAAACACGGTTTCCAATACGTTTTTAGTGGGGATGATCTGTTTGGGGGTCTGTATGGTAGAACTAGAACTAGTAACTAGGCCATCCAAAAGGGTCAAGTGAAGATCCCTGAAGATCGATGAAGATCCATTGCAGGCCCTTTGGATGGTGGAAGTCTTTGAGATTTGGGCTCCATCTGTCCAAAGGTCTCGGATGAAGATCAGTGTTCCCAACTGATTCCCTAATTCGCAAGCAATCCCTCACGCGGCACGTGATGAAGGAAGTCCTTCACTCACCTGTGAAGTGAACACGAAGCAATGAAACCATGCGCAGTGGTTTCAACCAAATGTTGGAAATCATACGACAGAGACACCCCACATCACCCCACAGTCTCCAGTCTCCTCCTATTCAGACTAAACGAATCAGACTCGTGGCCATGGGCTGCAGGAGCACTGGGAGATCGCCTGCCAGGATTTCCAAATGGGTCACCAATTCCAAGTCCCGCGTGCGCAACACCTGCGTGGCGCGTTGGAAGGCCTCAGGGTCGTCCTGGACGGCACGGAAGGAGCACTTGTGACGAGAGTTTTGAGACCTATGACATCCTCAAGCGCGTGGTGCTCCTTTTCCGAACAAGAACGAAAAGATCATGAAGAGAAACATGTAAAAGTACAAAAGATCATGTCCTGTATCTCTCAAGTATAGTGGGTGGGTCCTCAAAAGACACCAAACACTTCCAGTCATATGGCAAATTAACATTCATACACTGGGACTCACGAGCATGGAAGTGGAAAAGCTCCTAGAGCCTAGAGGAAAATCCTCCAACCAAAAACATGTTCCAGTCCTACTGTAACTTCATCCCCCCCCAAAAAAAAGAAAAACAACACATTCTCCGTCTCAAAACGGTGCTCCGTCCCTCAAAGCAGAACCAAAACGCTGAAAAGACATGAAAAGACACCAACGGCGACGCACACGAGAACGAACACATGATCCCGGTTCACCGGTTCTCACGGTCCTCCAACGAAGGTGGCCAGTTCTGCAACACGGCAGCTGCCAGTTCGAAACTCCCCACCAGGTCGCTGGATAAGACCAAACCACCCAGCTGGGCAGCTGCCAGGGCTGCCTCTGGCAGCTGTTTCTGCGACTGATTGGGCCTTGGAGATGTGAATGCCGCCTCCGACCTTCTGGAAGATGAACATGTGGAAGATTCGTGGGGAAATATTTAGGACGATCATATGAACCATTTGAGGTCCTGCTGGTCCATCAATATAGATCATTTTAGATCAAAGCTCCCTCCGGATCGCCCCTCCGCCTTGGGATGTTTGACATCCAGTTCTGGCGAAGTACTCAAACATTCATACAACACAAATCCTAACCCCTCCCGAAAACGAACTGTGGACCACGTGGCCTAAAAGGCTTCTATAGTCAAACATGCCCTTAGTACAATGGTTGTTCGATGTTGTTTCGTAGAGGCAAGGCCAGGAATCCTATGGCAGTGGTTCTTCGCAGTCCGGGTTCCCACAGCGCCGAGGAGCCGCAGTGAAGGACACCAGCCTCCCGGGTTCATCTGGTTCACCCGGTGTCGTGTCTTGAAGGACCCCATCTATGATAGAAGATTCTGGAACCTTGTTGGTGCTCCATGTCAGTCATCAGCTTGTTGGTGGTGAATGCATGTGAATGCCAATCTTCCAGCACTCAATCGCTCAACTTTGTGACCCAATGTGGCCACTGCGACTCAATGAGGCCAGTTCACCACCAGTTCACCGCCTTGAATGGTTGTTAATAGTTCCCAAGTGAGTGGATGTTCTGGGTACCCCTATCCTCTATCCTCCAAGTTCTGCACCCCTATCCTCCATGCACCCGGTGAGTCGATGTATGTGGGCAGGACCAAACGTGGCGGCCCCACTACTGGACGCGCCAAGCAGGGCGTTCAAACGAAAGTTGGAGAACACATGGAGCATCCTGGAGCAAATGAGCCCCCCCCCCAGGCCTCCTCGCCAAAACCTTGCTGTTAACATCATACATCATTTAACTGCCCGCATTTCGCTGCTGAGCCCCCACCCACAGGCCTAGGAGTTTCTGGAAGACCCGCTTGGTGGCCTTGCGTGGCTTTGGGAGTTCTGCCAGTGCGTCGAGCTCGTGGTCCTCGAGCTTCAGGCTCTTGAGCTTCTCCTTGGTCTTGTGAGATGGATTTTCCGAGATGCGCCACGAGTGCGTGCGCCCACCAGCACCCACCAGTGCTCGCTCGCTCGGGGCCAAGGGAAGAAATGGTGAATTTGAAACATCTGCTCCGCTCATGATGATCATGAGATGGAGTTGGGTCATAAACTGAGGAAACTACTGAGTTAATATGAAGGAATCACATGGGCTCAGGTTGGCTTCCGAAATAGCCTAGAGCTTTTGAGCGTTGAACTCGGGGGGGAGCATGGATTCACATGCGAAACGACGGGTTCCCCATCTGTATAACCTCCGATCCCGACTCTGCTCTCACGCTTGGTTACAATCCTCGGGAGCTCAACAGGTCGATCTGACTTGTTGCCTGTTCTTTCCAACCTGCTGTTGGAATAGGCCCTTCCAGGGGTAACAAATTGGATTGGAGTTAACAAAATACCGTATATTATCTTTGCAATTCACTTCCATTTGCGAAATAATCTTATGTGGGTATTTCACAAAGCTGCCAATCATACTGTGCTATCATGGGCCGCCCACCTCTGACTCACACTCCATGAAGTGGAGAACTTTTTAAGGACCATGGCCACAAGCACCGCACCCCAAGCACCATGTCCATCCATGTCCCACATCATCCGTGACCAAACTTTTGAGCTCAACATCCACAATCTGCATAGATCTGCATCTGAGCCTCATAAGCTTCTGCATGGTTCGGCAATCTCAGGAGCTTCTGCCAGCACCGCCCGCGCGACGCGCGCAGCGAGGCCGGGCCCGACCTCGCGCCGAAGGTGCCGTGGCGCTGCAGGAACGCGGCCAAGCGCGTCGACACGTCCGGCCTGGTGTCAACAAAGCTCGGAGGCAAACAAAGCATTCTCTCCGGGTGGCGACCACGGATTCCAAGGATTCCAAGCATCATTGATCATCATCATATTGATCATTGATCTACATATTGGTTGGAAGATGTTGGAAGATCAAATCCCGAACCAACCAGTCTCCTCCTAAGGGACGACCAAATGCCAGGTCTTTCGCATCTGCAAGGGTCTTCTCCGAAGGCGAACCGAAGGCGACCAGGGTGGGTTGGTCTCGAAGAGGCGACCTGACCCTCCACATCTTCGGTTCTGCCATCTGGGCGTTCAAACGTCTCGTGCGTAACGTGCAGGGCGGGTTCAATCCAAAGTGCAAGTCCGAAAGTCCCGGTCTCCAGGGTCAGATCCTCATTGAGAACTCTCTCCCTCCCTCCCTCGCTCTCTCTCTCTCTCTCTCTGTTCACATGATTCATCCGCGGCCGAGAGGGATGTTATGTTATACATGGCTTGGCCGGAGGATCTGGTCTCAGCATGTTCTGGACACCATGCTGACCAGCGCGCCATGTTCTGGATAGCGCACCATCCACAAAATCAGAGACATGCGGAACTCCACTCAATCATCCTGATGCCATCTTGAATATTCTTTATGTACTACCTTTTAATACTAACATGCTTTGACAGTCAGCCCACCCAAACACGACCTGTCTGGGACTGGAAGATATGCCGCCCCACCCCACCCCCGCCCCCGGCCAATATGGCGACTGGTGCGACTGTGAGGGTGGATCCCAAACCATCCCTCTTGAGAGCTCCCGTACTGACTATAGAAAAGTCGCACCCATCAGTAGAGTGGGACTGGACCAAAGATGGACGGCATCAACCCAAAACACCGTCTAGATCGATCTAGTTAGTCTAGTTACAGTTACACCCAGCTGCTGGTTCAGTGGACGGGGTCGTGCAGGGCAAGTTCTTGGCCGGCGAGGCCGCGCTGAAGAAGCCTTGCCTCGGAGCAGAGTTGCTGCCCCCAAGAAGAATCCGATAGAACTGGGTTGCGCTTGGAGATGGCGCCACTTGATGCTGAAAACCAAGCCCTATGAAACTCCGACAACCGACTCATAGACCCTTGCGGCACCAGTTGCTACGCAGAGTCAACTCCTTCACCTCCAAGCGTTGCACCGGAACGCTGCCCGCTCCGCCCGCACGCTGCAGGAGCGCCACGGTGCGACGGTGCCGAACCACGGCGCCGTCGAGCGCGAGCAGCTTGCAGTGGGGCCATGGAATCCGCCGCACCGAGCTAGACCTTGAAAGCTGGACAAGCAACACGCTTGGCGTCGCGAGGTTTCATCCTCGCGTGCCTAGGCCCTAATAGGGCTCCATATCCTTGGAAGGCAGGGTTTAGAGAAGTTTAGAGTCCCCCAAAATCCACCCTGACCACCTTCGAAACGGAGCTAGGCTGGGAGCTCTATCGCATGGTGCGCAGATGTGGCGGGGGCACGTGATGGGTTTTTGTGGGAGGTTCGAACAGAACAGAGCGAGGGGAACACACTCATGAACACAAATCCATACAAATCCCCATACTATCATCATCCACATCAAATCGATGTTGTGGAGGTTCTTAACCTCTTGATTTCAGTTTCTAAACTCGTTCTCACAAGTTCTCCTCGGTCCTGCCGCCCTTCGCCCGGAGCCCGATCTTCCCAGACCTTCGCCATTCGCCCAGGCGGCTGGGGAGAGAGGGCAAGGACCTCGTCGCGACACAGGACAAAGAGCTCGTGGCCGTGCGCCACCAGTTGTGTCATGGGCTTCGACATCCTGGGTGAACCCGCGAAGGCGCCTTCGCGCCTTCACGTGTTATCCAGCACGGACGTCCGGGACGCACGGCGTCTGTCACGAGCGTGTCGTTCGGCAAGTCATCCGGTAAGAAGCGACCAGGGTGAAATGGAGGAGAATGTCACTGAACCTGCAAAGTGGTGCTTCCTTTCGCAGGGCAAAAGACGTTCCCCTGGAGTCTTGACAAGTGGAATGTTCAAAATGATCTCGAGTACCACATACATTGCATTAGAAGCATAAACAAGCAAATTATACTATTAGTAGCACTACTAGTAGCCGTTTCTTCCGGGTCGCCCGTTCCGGTGAAGCTAAGGGTGGCTCTCTCTCTCTCTCTCTCTCTCCTCGCTGCTGTGCAGCTTTATCGTCCGATTTATTTTCACTGCCCCCTGTGAGTCAGGCATCTGCACCCTCTCCACGGCTGGGCTTAGCCTCGCGGGCCACACGAGCACGTAGTACTCCTCCCGCTTTCGAGCGGCGACACCCACCTGAAATCAGCCAGGGTGGTCGGTCTGGTTGAAAAATGTCTGATTTTCCAAAACGAGGCCCAAAAGATTTAACTTTAAATTATATACCGAATTTTTGCCCGATAGTGGGGGGACACTAGTTTCTAACATTCACTTCACTTAGTTTCAGCAACAAGGCTGAAGCCTACCGTCCACAAAGCTCCAACATTGGCCCCCCTCATGATATCAGCAAATCCCATGGAATTTTAGTCGCGGCTGTGCCGAGATGCACCAAGGTAAGGACTTAAGGCTGCTCCACTCTACCATGCAAGGATCTAAATTATGATTTCGTGCTAGCCGAGTCTTCGTGTTCCAAGACTTCTCCCACGCAAAACTAAAACGATTTTCAGTGATGGGCTAGTCACACAACTTCCAGACCAACCAACCCTTTCAGCAGTTCCGGACCAGCCAAACCCCAAAAACTGGTTCTATTGGTAAATATGGCCAACCTGTTACAGGTTTCAAGCCCTTCACACCCCCAAAAGCCGGTTTATTTCAACACCAAGGCTCCACTGTGTCCCCGATGGCCAGCTGTGCCAAACAGGAGGGCGGCACGTCATCCAGGCGGGGAACCATGGCTTCAGCCACCAGACTGGCCGCGGGCGTGGACCACAAAGACCACCTGTGGCGTGGGAGCCAAGGCGAGCGTTGACAAGGAGCACCCTGCAGAGTAGGTAAGGATGAGTTGAAAGCTAAGGAGTCAGTCGGAGCCAGGAGATGAAACATCAAGGGATTCACCAAATGAGGAGGTGGCCGGATCAAAAACATGAGGTGGTATGGGGAGGTTCTTGTGCAGAGTGGGAAGACCATACCCCAACCTGGGAAGCTGCTTCGATGTCGCTACTCTTGAACCGATGTTTGGATGGGCGGTTGCTAGAGTAGCCTTATTAATCTAGACTGTCTAGACTCTTGATTCATAAGCCGCCCATTAGGAGCGTACACCCCCTTCATATTATGGAAGGTTGAAATATGTTGAAGTATAATCAAATATTTAAACGTCGACATTGAGCTTCAACGACCTGGTCGACCTCCTTCGAGCGGATTTCTGCGCAAGCATTCCGCCCCCTTCTGATTCACCTCAGGGGCTCTGAGCCACACATGGCACCATCAGGACTTAGCTCTGAGCCACACCGCACACAGCTCACTAGAAGTGGGCGGCCCAACCCACAGAATCCGATTTAGCCGTAAGCCGGTAAGCTACCAGAGTTCCTAGATCGACATGTGGATCTGCAGTTCCATGTCTGCCTATCCCAAACACTCCATGGGACTGCCATATATGCCGCCCCATTGACCCCTCTGGCACCACCCCAATGTAGGTATATATGCCATACATGGAGTGTCTGTGTATTGGACAGGTGCCCAGAACATCCACTCACTTACAGAACTAAAACAATACTTTCTGGCCCCTTTTTGGAGTGGAAACCCTGGAATCCACAGAGGTGTAACATCTCGATGTGAAGGAAACTAGTCTTCTAGTAGACCATGTTCCACTAGCCTCCACTGACCTGTGGGACTGGTAGGGTAAAGCCTACCAGTCCAGCTGCAATGCAAGCACGTGAGCCATGCGAGGATCCACTCCCTTTCCATGTGAGGTCTTAGTCAGCGTGTAGTTCTGATGTGTCCAACGAGTCGCTGCCCGAGTGCGTCCGCCTCAAATGTCCTTGCACGTCGTGGTACAAAGCGCCCACCTGGTGCGCTTGGTCTCGCGGTCAGATGGGTTGAGACCGAACGCCCCAAACGCAAATCCCGCACCCAAAAAGATCCCCCAAAGAGGGCCTAAGGTTAGGAGATCCGGTGTGTTTGCATCATCTAATTAATGGCGCCATGGGTCAAAACCAGGATATATAGTATTTCGGTCGGCCTACCTGGAAGGTCAAGCTACATGGTGCGACCGGGCTCCAGGTTTATTTGACCCACCCCCAAATCACAGCAGGATTCACGAGGATCACTTCACCAACATCCAGGCACCGCCCAGGGCCGCGGTCCTGCTGCCCATCGCTCGTCAGGTTGGCCGCCACCAAATGCGAGGCCACAATGCGACGGTGCAGAGTCCAGCTCCCAACCTGGACAACCCTTAGGGCTCCAGTTGTACCTCTGAAACGAAGGTATGACTGGACCCGGATGGGAAACGGATTCTTCAGTCCTCACGGACGCCCTGGGCGCCCAAGCGAACGGTGATGTTTTGGGGATTCAAAGCGCAACGCAATCCCAAGTTGCGCACCTCATCTGACTGGAACCTATATGTGTATCATTTCATATCCAAATTACTTTCACTTTCATCTGGCTCGAAATCAGGGTCGTATCCAGATAACCAAAAAAACAAATGATCAGCCTCCCACAGCAGCAGCCGGTCGCGGCTCAAGGTCGTTGCCCAATTCTCTGAGGCAGCTGCGAAGGTGACCGGCTCCTGTGGGAGCTTTCTAGCTTTGAAGGCATACATCCCAATCAAATCTCTCCCTATGTATAATATATATAATAAATCCACATCAATCTGCACTACATCAAATCCACATAAATCCACAATCCTCTCTCTCTCTCTCTCTCTCTCTGGCCGTCACGCCCAATAGAAGCGGTGAAACATCTGTGGCATGCGGAGCCTTGCGGAGCCCGGTGGCCCCCACGATCTCCGCATCGACGTGGTCCGACAGAACTCCCACAGAGTCCATCAATAAACCATCCTTCATTGATCCATGGTTTCATCCATTATCCACCATTGACCCATAATTATACACCATAATCTCAAAATTATGATATATAACCATTGATAACCCCATGTTTACACATTTATCAGAATTTATTGGGTATGATGAGATGCCTCCATCACGGGGCGGTCCCAGCGCAACTTCGAGGCGTCCGCATGCGCCTGGTGCTGCAGCAGCGTGGTGCGCAGTGGGCGGCGGTGGAGGCTCTGGGCGTCAAGGACGCGGACCTTGTGCTGCACGGAGAACAGGAGCTCTCCAGCACCTTGTGCTGCGCAGGGTGGCGAAGTGTGTGGTACAAGTCGTGCTTTTGTGTATTAAGGATTGATGATCCGATGTTCAATGAGAACATCATCTACCTCCTTGGTGTCATGATCAATCCTGGACAGTAATGTAGACTCTTGATTTATAAGCCCTCCCATGTGAAGAGAGAGGTTTTTACAATCCAAATGGGAGGGTTGATTACTCAAGATTCTACATTATATAGATCAGTCTTTAGCACAGTGCTTTAGCAGGTGCAAACAGTGGGACGATCTGAGAGGCCCTCTAAATTGGAAACAGCGTTGGAAGTTGATGGTGAGATGCCGCACCAGTGCCTGGATGCCATCACTGGAATGTAGAGGTGCAATGTGAATGTCGGGGCAGGAGCGATCAGCATCATTGCGTCCATCCGCTATATCCTATATAATATACATCTATATACACATATTTAATCATAGTTAATATTGGAAAAGCAGAAGGACACCAGCCACCAGCAAAGCACACGCAAAACCAAGTAAAACACACTCTACAATGGCTCCCTCGTTCCAAGCAGCGGCTGGTCTCATCCCCTTTTTTCCGGACATCCCGCCGAGCCACGCACGAAGCAAAGAGCACCACTGAAGGGCGCCTCTTGCCAAAGGCGCACGCGCTCACGGCGCTTCAGGTCAAAGATGTACAAACCTGGTAGCGGAATTGGAGGGCCAAGTCGTCTTGTGAGGAGATGTGACATGAGACGCGAGACATGGAATTCCAGAAGGTCTTAGAGTGAGTTAGAGTGAGGAGGTTTTCTATGGTTCACAGTTCTCATATGTTCTCATCGTTTTTTCGTTGTGATGTTGACCTACCAGCTGGAGTTCAAACAAAGAAGTCAACATGACCATATCGTTGTGGCATCTCCACGGGAAATGTTTGGCAATCCTTCATGTCATCCGTCCCTGCACCTCCATGACAATCCACCGCCGCTGCAGTCTCACCCTGAAGTGCAATCCGCTGCAGCGTCGGCAGCTGTTCGCAAGGCTCGCACGGGCTCTCCATGAGCAAAGTGAAGTTTGTCCCATAAAGCTCAATGCCCTAACCACTCAATTGCCCTCATATTCGACTCACCTGTACTCATGCCTGGCTGGTCATGGCCACAATGGACTCATCCACGAGGAAATTGCCTTTTAAGTTTGCACTTCTCCTTCCCTCAACAGGTATCGGTATAGGTCCTATAGGTAAGGTGGGGCCGACTGACCATCCAATGCTTGCTGCTATCAGCAGGATCTGTGGCTCACTGCTGCCTGCGTTCTGGCTCTCAGCAACAGTTGAAGCTACCTTTTTACTGTATATTATATCATATCTTTTTATGCAGGATGGCATGAAACCACACCAGCGGCATCGAGCGGCTGACTTTTGGCCAAGCCAGTTTCTACTGACAAGTTTTTAACATTTGTTGGCTGTTGTGCTCCATTGCTGAGATTGAGCCGCATGACAGCACCAAACTCACTCTCTTTCTCTATCTCTCTCTCTCTAAGCTACTTCTCCAGAAGGCCTGTGAAAATGACGAGTGACTAAGGTGGGATTCTTCGCAGACTTCTGACCCCTGGCTTATGATATGCCGGCCTTTCTTAGTTAACTGCTGATAGTAGCATGAAAAGGCGACAATTTCTTGAACATATGGCAACATTAAAAGATTCCGAGAAAAAACGGAAGACTCCGCTTAAACAACATCACCCCGTTCCACCTAAGTCGTCGTCGTACTAGCATGGCGGCTGGCCGTCGGAGGTTGCTCAGTTCCGTGCTCTGGCTGGGCGGCGAGCCACTCCTCAGTCAGGTCCACTCCTTTGACGGTGGATGAATTGGCCCGGAGACGTCAAGCCATTCTGGTTCTTTGGCGTTGACGAAGCACCGGGGATGTTGATCACGAACCATCATGTTACAGTGACTCAAAGTGGCATCTCCAAGAAAGTCCACTTCTTGCCCCCCCAAAAAAAGAAACCGACACAGCCGTGCAAAGTCTGTGGCTTAAGCCCGCCGTTCCCGCCCACGACCGGAAGAAGGAACTGCTCCCCTTTCCGCCCGCGCAAGGAGACCATAACATACCATCCCTAAGGATCCAAGTGCCCTCTGAGAAGGTGGGACTGGGGTGGGTTTGGAGGGTCCAATACAGTATCTTTTGAGGAGGTACGACTGGATGCCTACTAAAATAACCGACCTCAGGAGTCTGGCCGGACGCTCGTCTGCCTGGTTCAGGCCGCGGCACGAGAAAGGCTGGGACCCGCGTGCTGCGCCAGGTCTCCGTGTCGTCGCCGCGCGGCGTCCAATCGTCCGGGAGCTCCGCAAAGCCCTGGGGGCGGTCACCGGCGACCGCGTGGCTCCAGCATTGTTTTGGTCCGGTGAGGTGGCGTATGGTGGCGTGCCTATCATGGAGAATAAGGGAAGTGTATGGAACTGTTTGAAAGAGATCTGACCGAGAATAGATGGGAATAGGATGAATATGGATGAATACATGGCTGGCTTAGGGGAGTGAGTTACTCGCTAGATTCGGCCCCTGTCTGCATCAAATGGCCTTCAATCATTCAAGCTCTTCGACATGTGCTCTTCACCTTTGAGATCCACATATTGCATGAGGAAGGCTCTCTTTTTGGCCCAGCATGTCAAAGGGGATGGCTCTTGGGACGCTGCAATCTGCTGCAAGTTCAGATCCCCTACAGCTGCAGCTGAATGGGCGAAAGCGAGATCAGGCCAATGAGCACACATCCCCACCTCCCCACGACCTCGGGCTTCCGTCAGTTCCTTGGACTCACCGTCTTTCGCTCCCAGTCTGGGGCCTGCCTATACTTGAGCACACGTGCCAGGTTGAGTCCTTGAGTCCTTGGGTCCTTTGGGTCCTAAGGCCCTGCTGGCTCTCTGTCCTCCCAGGAAGCGATGAAGGGAAAGAGTTGGAGGAGCTCTGACCTCGGTCAGAACGGAAGGGTTGAAAAGGGACAGTTGGGGAGCACAGGAATCGAACTCCTCAAGCGCTCCAGCAGAGTTAGATGGAGTCCATACATCGGCCCCTTCCTTTCCAGCTCTAGACTCTACACATGTTCCGTGATGGTTCGGAAGGTAATGATATGCAAGATTATTTTTGATATGTACAAAGTGGAGTCCTCAAGGCACAGGAGCTTGATACCACTAAAATCAGGATCGAGCTCTTGACACCTCAATCTCTCGTCATCCGTAATTGTCAATGGGTTGTGGAGATACGATGTGGGTGACAGAACGAAGAAAACACTGCATTCATAATTTGTCATGCCAAAACACACAATACGGGGATTGACAGTGCGTGCCCTCAGTTTGCACTTTTTCACTTAACTGATTCAACCACATGTCACACTCTTCCCCTTTTGAGCGGCCCGACACGTCAAATCCAGTTTCTCCCAAATTGTCGTAACGACCCCCCATACCTGCCGCCCAGATGCTTGGACCGTCCTTCATCTGAGATGGAGCACCATCCTGAAGAAAGAAGCTAAAAAGAAGCGTGAAATACTGCATGAAATATATTGGGTTATGGATGCCCCAGGGATCCAAGTAAGGTACTTTAGGGTTGTAGATGCACTACGGATCCCAAGTAAGGTACGACTGGACCCTCCTGGCACCTACATAACAGCGTCTCCTTTCTCACCGTACCTGAGAAAACACTTGGATCCCTGGGGATGGAAAATAGGTTGGGCCTATCCTATTACCAGTAATTAACCGTGGACGACGATGGTTGACTTGCAGGGCTTCTCTAAAGTCGTGCTCATTGTCTACCGACTGTGTAATAGGACGGGCCCAAGGTTAGGGATGTTGAAGGTCGGAACCAAATACAGAAGAAACACAGGTTTGCAAAGCAAACTGCTCAGACATCCAATGATGTTCGAGCAAGGCTTCCAGAACTCCTCAGTAAGCGTTCCGAGTGACCCAGCTCCCTGTTTCATCGGGAAGAAGAAGGGATACAGTATCATATCCCCCGCGACGGCCCGCCGTCTCTGTCGCAACAGAGTCTGGCGAGGAAGCACCACGGTGCAGCAGAAAAGGTGGATGCACCGTGATGAATTCAAGCAGCGGCCAACATGGACAATGTACAGCCGAGTCTTACCAGTTCATTGCGCACTCAAGGCCCTATCCACAACTCCAGCCGCATCTCGACCTCATTTCGTGGGTTTGTTGATGCTTGTCGTACACCCCCCTTCCAATCAACTTCTCTCTCGCCGTGGACGCCGGTTCCACGCCGTCCCGGGACGCCCGGACGCTCCGAGTGCAGCGGGCTCAGCACCACCCGCGTGCCCTCCGGCCGTTCCCCGAAGGCGGCGGCCGCCGTCTGCAGCGCGCGACCTCCGGTCGTGGCCCGACGAACCGATTCGGCGCGGTGGCGCGGGTGGCGCGGCAGGGGTGCCGGAGCCGGACTTAGAGCCCAAACACTCCATGGGACTGTCATATGTACCGATCAGGCCAGGGGTGGTGCCACAGGAGTCTGTCTAGGGCGGCAGTCCTATATGGCAGTCCCATGGAGTGTGTGGGGAAGGACACCATAAATGACGCCATCTGAAGGATGGGTCCTGGATCCGATCCCGGTCGAACGGACCGCATTGCTCAATGCCCTGCTCAGTGCCTTCCACCACTCAAACAGGGCAAAAGAATGGCCCACCCAAAAGGTGTAGGTCAGCTTCTTCGGGCCTTTGGCTTAGCCCAGGCCCTCCAATCCCCACCGGTTCTCCCATGAGTTCCCACCTTTTTCAAGGCTCATCCACCAGCAGTTCCACATCGGACTGTTCAGCCCCATCCAGTGACAGGGATGTTCAGCCAGGTGCCCCCGGAGGTAGACTCAGGTAGACACTCGCCGAACTCGTGGTTTCTGCATGTCAGGATCATGCGTCATTGGGGTGGGGGTCCAAAAACGGGCCTTCGTTGACCACTGAACAGCCTTCAGAGGTCAACCCAGAAGGGACTCTAGGACTCAAGCTGACTCACAACCATACCCAGATACTCCGAGAATGCCATATATGCCTATATACATTGACCCCCCAAAACCACCCTATATATGTCGGCATGACATGGCAGTCCGGTGTGTCTGGCATCTATCTCCTCACCCATCGGCTCCCCCCCCCCGCGTCGCCGGGAGCGAACGGCCCGAACGCCGAGGGGCTCAGGGGCGAAACGACCAAGAGCTCGCAATCGGCGAAGATCGGCATCCCACGCAGTCCTCGGGCGTCGTGTCTACACGGCGACGGGGCGGAAGCCCGGGCCTTGTGGAGCGTGAATTCACGGGTTTGAGGGTATAGAAGATGGGGTTTTTTGGGGTGGCGTGCTGGGGTGGGTGGCACTACCTGACTTGAAACTCCGAGCTACTCTGTGGTGAATGTGCTGCGCTACCCGCTTGACCTCGGCGACCAGGCATCTACTGCCCGCCGTAATATCTATCTCGGACAAGCACCACAAACAAACCCCCCAAAAAGCAGCCAAACGCACACATGATGAGATATTTTCAGCCGCTGCCATGGTCAAAATATGTCAAAATCCCTCTTCGCATGTGGAACACATCATGCCCTCATCAACATGTCTCAACCTTATGGAGCGCCCCTTTTAGTTGTCGTGATACAATGCTCATACCTGCGCCCTGCGCCCCTTTCTGCGCAAACTGCCTCATCTGTCCAACGAAACCCGCGATCTGTCCAACGAAACCCGCTAAGACTTTCCTCTGCGCCCAACTCTGCTTGCCAAGCTGCGCGCAGCCTGCGCCAAGCCCAGCTCGCTCAGCAGGGGATCGCGGGCGCCCGTGTCCCGCTGAGCGGCGGCGTTATGCCTTACGCGGTCCGTGCTGGGCTGCCCCAAAGAACTCTATGGCAGGAAGTGTTTTCCCTTAGGCAGGTTGATATATGTTGATATGTTTGGATTGGGGGTTTTTCGGACTAGCCCCAAAACGCTCAATTGGGGTGGTTTAGGGGTTGAGTCTGGGGGGTTCTGTTCCCAAAACATGCGCGTATATCTGGGTATATATTGGTCTGGGGTTCACTGGGCTGAGATGGCGCATCATCCAACAACCAAATGAGGCTCAAGGAGTGAACATTCCCGGTTGCTTCACTGAAGCCGGCCAAATAGAAAAGGAAACAACTGAAGGTCGTGACCCCCTTGAAGAAACCAGGTCCCTCACTACCGAACAAGTGGCTGTATCATGCTGTAATTATCCAGGTTCCATGAGGTGGTGCACCGCAAGAAAAATGGGCACATGTGGAAACACATGGTGTTCTTTGGTCCAGGGATGATCAAAATGAATGGATGTAGACGGCCTGAATGGATGTAGACGGCCTGAATTCATTCAAGGACTAACCCTAATGCCGCACAGCACGCCCTAACCCAGCCTGCACCTCCTGCACACCTGCTTGCCCTCCTTGCCTGAGTTCATCACAATCCAACACAGCCAGTCGAAGCATCGACCGTCCCCGCTCCTGGCGATCAGAACCGGCTCGCCTGCTCTGGCCATGGCGCAGCAGCAGCACCTGCCGCCTCAAGCTAGGCGCCTCACCTCACCCGTGTTCGTCGTGATTTGGTGATCAGGACGAAGACGAAGACGAAAAGGTTTAATGTGAAGCCGGTCTCTCTTCAAAATCAAGGGGTTGTGGTTGTGAATGTTTGGCTTTAGTTGATGGGTCAAACCTTGCGGATGAGGTGATCTTAGGATCCATTGCTTATGGGCAAGACTGGATACGGTGATCATTGCTTCTTGGCAGAAATTCTGGAGCGAAAGGACTGGAATACACAGGTTGGTCAACTTTGGAAACCACATATGCAGAAATCATGCCCGCCTTCTCCAAACAACAGTGCAATGGGCAGTGGCTTGAAGCAAAGGGATCAATCGCTAGAACAGTGTTGAGCAAGGACCCGTCCAAACTATAAACAACATCAACGGTTTTCTATGCGATTCATAAAAGACACCAATTCTTCGTATGCAGTTCAAAAGGAAGGAAGGAATGGTTCCTATATAATCCTATATATATTCCTGTGATGGCTTGTAGGGCAAAACTGCAGATGTTTGCCAGGGGTTCGGTTTTTGTGCAGGTATGATTATGGGACGTTCATACCTTCATAAGGCTGCTCAACTCTCCCACCATGTCCACTTCTGCGAAAGCCAACTCTGCCGATCACCAGTCACTCGTCTGCTAGGCTTCCTCATGCGTCTCCCGACTGAGAACCGCACCTGTGCTCATCCCATGGCCAAGATCTGCTACATCCACCCCATAGGGCCGACAAGAGCTGAGTGCAAGCCGAGCTTAAAGCTGAATGCCGATCTGGGCGACCCAGAAACACGACGGACGGGGTCAGGTCTTGAATGCCGATCGCGGATCAAGCTACTAATCATACCATATCCCATCCAAAACCCAGGAAAGTAGGTTGTTTAAACCAAGCAAAGACCCAAAACACCATGTTTCAAAACTCACACCTCATCAAAACCCTAGAGCAATCGATTCAAAACCTGTTCGAGAATCAGAGCATTTCATTGGATCGTTAAAAACGGCCTTCAATGCAAACTTGGCCAACTCATCCGTGAAGGATCTAAGCCCAATCAATCCCAATCAGAAGCCTCGAACACCTACAGCACCATGCACACGCTCGGTTTCTCTCTCGCAAGGTTCAGTGCAACCCTTAGTGGCCGACCTAGGCAAGCAAGATTCGTCAGTGGCAGCTGAGTCTAGGCAGCCGGTCGAGGAGTCAAGGGTCTCCAAAAGAGATGAGTGATGAGCAACTAGGCTTTGCGCCGTGTACTCTGAAGTTGTTATGATTTTTCTGGATTACCCCACAATCTCCCACAGTTTCGCTGGTGCCTGATTGTCGTTCTGGCGTCCGTTTGAACAATGGCCCACAAATGGAAGCAAACCAAACTTCAAACACAATCTGCAATTTACAAAGTACAAACTATAGAAAATTTATCCTGCCAACCGCAGTGCAAAAGTATTATTCACATGATATTGTCATAAACCCTGAACTCTGTTCTTGCGAGTCTGTAGTTAATCTATTCTGAGATGGCGCCACTGCAGCCCAGCAAACAAAACAATCAGTGACGTTAGAAATGAGATACCCACCGTCTCCAGGCATCCCCAACTCTTCAGTCCACCCACCTGGGCAACGACTTTTGCTGGCATTGGCATTGGGACTGTCGCCCAGCATGGAACTGTACAGGAAGCATCGTCGCTTCAGGTCCACATTCGTCACTTGGATGCGCAAGCACCCCAAACGCATCCCAAGCATCCCAACGTCAGCTAATTAAAGCCCAGCAGTGAGGCAAACCATGGCCATGACACTCGTCTTCTCTTTGTGTCTGGTGCTGATGCTTCGGCCGTGGCTGCAGATGCTTGCGCTGCCGTAGATGTCCGCGCGTCACTTGCTCTCGACGCTTGCGCCGCAGGCCCTTGCCCTGCTGCTTGGCTCGGCGCGGGCAGCGGGGGTGCATCCTCCAGGGCTGGCTGGGCCGCCACGGCCGGTGTGATGGCGAGCCGCTGGGGAGGCGGCTGCTTCCCAATCCTCAGGTTGAGTGAGGCTTGAGACAATGTTTACTTGCTGAGTTGCCATGCCAGGGCAGCTGAGCTGCTCTTGTTACGCGCCTCCTAACCTTCTACTACAACCCAACCCAGCCAGTGACTTCCGGAGTGTGACCGGAAGCTTCGTATCTGATTCGGTGACCTGAGAGCTAAAACATTTGCCTTTCATCCACCAGGCTCATCAAAGATATATCGTATCGAGTCACTTAAGGATGAACACGTTGTAAATCACAACTTGTTCCAACACACCAAACAAACGCCAGAGTCTCTGACAACGGCTTCTGTCAAATCGGGTGGTATAAAAACTGGTTCGCTACAAACCTGGCAGCTTTCCGGCTTTCACATGGACCAACCCTGCCAACTCCTGTCATCAGCTCCCAAGGCGCAATCGACGTGTAACCGGCGGAGCCTGGAAGTGACATGAAGCCACATGGTTTGATGGGTTTGGTTTCGGGCCGCTCGGAACGTATGGCTTGTCCCTTTCATCATGGACAGCGAGCAGCCTAAACTACCAGTCCGACGAATGAATTTGAGGTCTTGCATAGTCTTGCTGTTGATCACCCAAGGCTTTCCTTCCATAAGAGTGAACCAAACAAACACTTGATCTACAGTAGCCGGCTCCCTCCCACATGTGCACGATCGAGTCTCCAGGTCCGTGGGACTGTGACATTGGCTTTGGGGCTGCTCGCCCGGTTGTTTGGATTTCGCCTGGTCCTTTGATCTGGCTAGTCCATCTTGCCCCAGAAAACGTATGTGCCATATATGGCCATATATATATAATATATAAACAAAATTCACCATGGCATCATTCTGTCCAAGCACGGCTTGCAGTGGAGACGAGGGTTGCTTCCAAGTCAACCGAGTCAAGGACGCTTCGATCGTCCAGCTCTCCTGCAGGGCTTCGATGAACGCCACGAGCTGCAGCGACGCATCAGTCGAGGCTGCGCAACGGCGACGGGCCAACCTCACCCCACAACGCCGGGTGTGCGCAAAGGAAAACAACCAGCAGAGGTTGAAGAACCCTATATGGACCATCCTATAGGTACCCCAGTAGGGTCCTATAAGGTCACTGAACCTCTCTTGCTAAAACTACCCTGACTCGAGACTTTGGCTTCTCTGAACTGAGAGACTGCATTACAAACAGGCCACCTGGTCTATCCAATGGGACTGCTTGCTGCTGTCGATACATGTCGTAACCAATGCCCGGCAAAAACTGATTCAAAAAAAGGAAGTGTCACGTATAATCTCTGAAGGCCTAGACTGCTGGAGGGCCACACCGGCTGACACCCACCATCAAACACGCTGAGTTGCAGCTCTTCTTTCTGCCGCTTCTGCTCCGGGGAGACAGCAGCCTTCCCCGACGTCCTCGTGGCCCTTCTGCTCCGGGGAGACAGCAGCCTTCCCCGACGTCCTCGTGGCCGCGCGAAGCCTGCGAGCAACCGGCGTTTGACCCAAGGGATCCCAAAGGATTGACCTTTAGAGTTGGCCAAAACCCTGCAAAGGTCTTGACAGAGATGTGGGAGTGGGTCGGTGGTCCAAAACCGCCATTTCACCCATGCCCAGACACAGACATTGATGAAACGTTTGTTGATTCCCCATTGAGCAACTTGGGTCTGATTTCTTCCATCGCATAAATAGTCCCCGGGCCCTCTTTTTTGTGATTCCGCCCATGCTTCTTCATCGCTGGTGCGCATCCGCTACGTGGACAAAATAGCGGACATGCCATATTTCCTTGCAAAGCCCTAACAGACATGTTTTCCAACACCATTTGACATCTATAGAATACACATCGAAGGATACCAACATTTTGCTGATCATAATCCCAACCGGTTTGGGCCCTATCTCGGCCCAACGCTCGCCCGTTTTCGGGCACCTCTGGCCAAAGTCGATGGCCGTGTCGATGTCACACGTCTTGGCGGTGACTTTCCGGACGCCACATCCTCACCCAGGACATCCCAGGACTTCGGGTTCTGGGATTGGTGGGGTTCTGGGGATCCAGGATGAGAACGCTGGAGTGGAGTGTAATAGCACTGCAGTGTACTGCCTGAACGTTCACCTTACAGGATGACACATGAAATGAAATGCAATCAGTTCATCCCCATTGAATCATTGTGGCGGTTGTCATGAGGATACAAAACCTGCCCCATCCTTATTGATTCATCGTGGCCGGTGTCATGAGGATACAAAACCCGCCACCTCACATATCATGACTCACTGTGTTTTCGGGTCCTGCTTCGGCAGTGAAGAACAAGAGCGCCGACGACCGTCCAAAGACCTTCCAGGCTTCTTCCGGAACAGCGCCGTCGCCACGAGCCTCTCGCCGCGCTGCTCCGGCCGCACCCTTGAGAAGCATCAGTTCCGATCGAACTTCCAGCACTTCATCCAGGTCCTGGCTCTCCTCTGTCTCCAAGATCAAACCTTGAGAGGACCTAAGAGATCCAAATTTGCTCAAGGAACGGGCTTGGAACATCTTGGAATGGAACGGATGTTGAGCAGCCACCGGAACGTCACACAGAATACAAGATGAATTGCATACAGCACGCCTGAGAAAACACCTCTTGAAATCTATACTCTCCACGTGGGATCTGCTTGCGCAATTGGACTTTCTGCGCAGGGCCTCACTCTGTGCCATGGTTGTGGGGTCAGACGTCATAGATGTCAGCCTACCGGATTTTGGTGTGCTTCATGACCCACACCCAGCCCCTTCGGTGTATCTAAATCTGAGAACCGAATCACGAGGAACCATGAACTGACCGAATCACGCAGCCCAAAGCAACTCAAGAACCTCTGATACATGGTGTTTCCTGCATCTTCATGCATCTTTCAGTTCGAAGGCCCTCTGCGGATCATTATGGAATTTGAGCCTGCCATATTGGAACAACCCTTTTTTGGCAATAAGGTTAGGGCGGGCAAAGTGAACTGTGCCCAGGAACATTCGCAAGTGATATCGGATCTGGCCGTGCTTCACCTTCCGCATAATGCCGCGGATGGTGGCCTGACGGGAAGGGCGAGCGTGGAAAGGAGAGGAGGCGACGTAGAGGCACCATGGAGCCCGCTCACTCACTGATCCTCTCTGTTCCGATGCCAATTGGTCAACGCCACTGCTACAAACCTGTGCACCCGTGTGGTGTTCCAGGTTTGTGATCCTCGAAAGGATTCGAAAGGTAAATGCAACATTTAGTTGACCTGCAAAGGGTGCTTGCAGCCTAGTGTGAACTTGTGAAATACTGTGAGCATGGTTGTTTAGGTGGCAGACGTTGTTCTCACCGGATTTTGTGCATGGGTTCGTGCATTCTATTTCGGAAGTCGGGTGATGGGTTTCGCGGGGTTTCGTGTTGGTTGACGGAAGAGTGGTCGAACTACTGAACTACTTGGTCAATCCACTCGAAACCGAAGGGCCGCCAAACAAAAAAAACATCAGCAAACACTTCTTCAACTCACCCGCTTGTAGCACGAAAATCATCAAGAACCTGCATGATCATCCATCCGACTATCGATAACCTGACTCCCCCCTTCATCCTTCATAAATCGTCCAAACGCACGTGTCCCCACACCCTCGCCCATCCGAAGACATCAAGCCACTGTCGGTGCATCGGCTGCGCGCTCATCATCGCCTAGAGCCGCCACTGCTCGCTTTCGGCCACGGGCACTGGCAGCTGTGCCCAGCAGCTGCGCCTTCAAAGCCCGCAGCGTCCCAGCACTTTCCCTCCGGAGCCGCGCCTGCAAGATGGAACGCCCCAGAACTGGAGCTCTGACAGGTCAGTGCGCAAACGATTTCATTCAATGTTTCTAGTTTTTTGTGGAAGTGAGCGTGACACAAACAAAAGAATGGGTCCGTCATGGTCCGTCCAATGGTAGAACTTCACGAAGCTAATTTTAAGCGTCATTGGAGACCGTACGTGGTCAAACCCGTTCCCAAGACACGCCTTCCATTCGTCCTTGGCGACATCGTTCAAGATCCTTCTGAGGACCATTGCTCGCCTTGGGACTGTCCCATCGTTACTTTGCTAGGGTGTGTGTGTGGGTGAGAGCTCCGGGGCGAGTTTACCCTGAAAGGTTCAAGTGTCCTAATAAGGAATCACAAACACGGCTTGGGCGTTGATGGATGGTAGTCGACGGTCGGCATCTATCTCCAACCTCTCAACACGCTGATTGCAACAACTACATCTACACCTCTTCTAATATACCTAGGCTTCTCTAGCCACAAACATAGAGCAAACATCGCAGTTGGTCAAACACAACCAAACACCCACAACTTCCTTCAACTTTGAAACCGGTCCATGCAAGAGAAACATGTCCAAAATGGTGAAACTGAAAGAGCTGAACTCCCAACACTCCAAACCAATTCCACCGAGACTCATGTAAACACTACGCATCACCCCTCTTTAAAGCAATGTCGCAATCCAGGCAAAACTTCTGTTCTCACATGTTCTCACTATGTCACTATTGAGAGGTGGGTTCGGTTGAAGTAGCAGGAAACCAAGCAAAAACTGTACCAGAATGGGGCAAAACATGCGGCCGTGGGGTTCCACCTCAAACTCGGCACTCTTGGATCGGTGTCGGCGATTCTGAGTGCCGAACATGTTGTGCCCCGCCCCCTTTCGCAAAGAACAAACCATCTTCTTGAGGAGCATTTGGTCTGCTTCAAAGTCCGAAGTGAATGGCCTGAAACAATGCTTGGTCGAGTTGCTCGCCTTCCAGAGCGCCAAAGGTGTTTGCATTTGGCGCGAGCCGCTCCAGGATGCGGTCGTGGGCATCGGTGAGCTCTATGAAGGTGGCCTTGCTTCCTGGCTCCGGAACCCAGTGGGTGGTTGGACCACCCACTGAGATCTACACCGTTTATGAGCCTGCGGTTGTGCGACCAACTGTTCCACCATATTCCGATGATTTTTCCACCTGGGTGATGTACACCGCGATGTTTACCGTTGGCCACGCAACCGTTTCCATGAGCAAAGCTCTTGAAACTTGGCAACACACACACACATCAAATGCTCACACTGATTAACAAATGTGTAAAACAGCTTGGTTCAAAACATGCTGAACACCGCTTCTAATTCACCCCGCATGAAGGATGCCAAGCCTGTGTTTTTGGAACACCTCAAGCCAGTGACACGCCCTCGACACACACAACCAACATTATGCCAAACAATATGCCCAATTAGATCTAGCTCGGCACTCGGCACCCTAGTTAAAGAGCCTTAATGGACAACTGTGAGGGGGTGCAGAACCTTTGGCAACCCTTCTGGTGTTTTTCCCACGTCCTTCTCCGCTTTCCCCCGTTCCTCTGCCCAACTCGAGCCTCCCGCTTTGTCGGGGTGGACCATGAGTGCTCTAGTTCGGTAAGCTCTCCTTGGTGGCAGTGGGCCGCCAGTTGGGGTACAAATGGGTACAGTATAGATCTGGTCTGATGCAGGTCGAGAATGCGCGAACATGGCGCAATCCAGGATTTGCCCCGTCTCTTTTTCCTCCCTCTCCCTCCCTCCCTCCCTCCCTCCCTCCCTCTCTCTATGTGTGTCTCGCTCTCTTTCATGTTCTGTCTTCATGTGATGTCGACCAATGAGAGGATCTGGGATTGAGGCCCCTCACCAAGTTACATTGAAAGCCATGGACCATTGCAGGTTGCACACCCCATTGCGAACAGTTGCTTAACCACTTAACCTACCGCAAAGACTTTTTGGAACGGATGCCTGTGCTTCTCAACAAACTTGCATTTCTTTGTCAAAGGCTTGCAGCTGCAGTTGATATATTATTAGTCCGGATCCCGTGAAGAAGAAAACCTCCAATGTCTGCACTTTCCATGCCCTTCATTCCTCCATGCCCCTCCTCCCAGATGTCTTTCTCGAAGCATCTTCACCTCCGGCACGCTGGCTTCGTGCGACAGGCCCAAGAGCGCCAGGTCCTTGGCATGGCTACTCGGCACCGGTCTGCCCACTGGTGCAGCCGGCGGCGCAGCCGGCGGTGTAGCCGCGGCGCCGGTTGCGACCTTTGCCCCACAGCTGGGGCAAGCCACCGCTTGGTCGCCTGGGACGGTCGCTGGGACCAAATGTGAGGAGCATTGGTCTCAGATCTTTTTCACAAAAAGGTGAATGGACCTGAATGGAGATGAATGGAATCTGTCCTGATCAGATCTGATCAGCAGGGGACAACTTGAGGAAAAACATCCCTTGTACCAACATGGGGACCCTGCTCCCACCTTAGGAGGAGGATGGTCATGGTCAACGAGACCTACAAGTCCTACAGCACTTCCTACAGCATAAAGTGATGATAAGACAATGAGTTGTCAGAGTTTAGCCGGTTTAGGACCATCACACTCTTGTCATATACCGAACTACAGCTACACCTCCCATTGGATCCGCAATTGTTCGAAGAGTTCAGGTGAAATGGAGTTCCAAATTTCTGAGCACTCTACCTGTACAGCCTGGGAGTGCAAACTCATTTTATACATAACGCCAATGCCCCCCCACAGCCGATTCTCCACGGTCCGTGTCTTTCCTTCACTTCAATCCGTGCTTTTGCATTGAGTTGGATGGTGCAAAGGGAACAAAACAACTCTTGTGGGCCGCTCATGTGTCAACCCCCAAGACGGGACACGACACGGCATTTTCTTGAAACAACCCGTTGTGATGTCATGAATCCACCCATGGATCTTTTGAGCGCGCTCCTCGCATTCCGGACGAACAGCCGAAGCCTATGCTCGTGTAGTGGTCCCCAAATAGAAAGTGGCACGGTGTCCAATACATGTTGACAGGGATGTGTGCTTTTCTATCTATTTGGGGGTCTATGTGTTTGAACAGAGTCCAGGGGCGCTTTTTGCACCTTCTTCCGGCGACCTCCTTCGTCTCGGGAGACAACGTGGCACCGGTGCCACTGGCACTAGTTTCTGCAAGTCGCGAGTTCAACTCACAAAATCCCTCACAATAGCAGGCCCCTGGCTGATTCATTGAAAGTGGGTATTGTCGGATGCGGGCACTGAGAGGCTGCTTCGTCCAGCAATCCACCACCACCAATATTATTCTTCCAAAGTGCCTCTGGGAAGTTTGCTATCTGAGATATTTTGCAGGGCTTGGAATTGAGGTCATTTTTGGCGCTACCTTCTTTCTGCTGAAACGAACCCATATCGAAAGTGTACGCAGCATGCAGAATCTCACAGATTCACCCACGAACAACTGCAATCGAGGGAAAAACTCCCGCACCAGCTTCGAAAAGGACAAACCCCGGCTTTCGTGCATGCCGGTTCGCAACAGATTCACCCACACACCTGCTCTCAGAGTTTCTGACCTGCGCACGTTCTGCGGATCTGGCGGCTTGGGGGAGCTCGGTTTCCGAGAGGACATGAGAAACTGTGTGACTAGCCATGACTGACCTAATTACCAGACGGTGTCATCCATGTCACATCAACGAATTCATCAAACTCCGGTCGCGTGTGGATTCGGCATCCGCATGCATGAAGGTGGCTCTCAATAAGGCATTGTCCAACTTCGGTACCCTTTGGCATCCTTTGGCCCGCCCCTCGCTCGGCACCGAACCCAAACATACTGGTGACGGGCCCCTTTTTCTTTCGCCCAGTCCGCAGGACGTGATGTGTCGGGCAGGAGCTGTGACGAAGATGGCAGGCGGCCAAACTCTAGATTCAAGGCCCGAGAACTTGTGCCATTCAAGCCCTGAATTCAAAACTTAACAACAGAATCTACCCATCCAGGATCCCGACCCTCAAAAACAAGGTTTTGTGATGTTTTGAGGGTATTTTTTTGGTTATAGAGGCTTCGACCCCTATGGAGGGTCCAACAAGGATCCGTATGGGGTAGAACATATCTAGACCATCTAGATCTTCATGATACCAGCTCCCAAGCCTCTTCGGACTTGGTGCTGGGCAAGTCCTGCGCCTTCATTCAACGTTGTTTTGGCGCAAAACGCTGTGCAAGCGCCCCCCAATAAAACAGAAGTGGCTTGGATTCCAGTGCGAGTGTGTGCAAAAGGCATAGTTTTTTTGGGGCACACACTTAGCTGGCAGCTCTGACGAAGCCCAGTAGCCCTTCATCTCACCAAGACCGCAGCCTATGCGAGCTCACAATCTGGGTCAAAATACTGCGCCAAGGTGTCATAAGTGTAAGGGGTTCGACTGGGATGGACATAGTACATGATCTCCTCACGAGGGCTTTTGCGACCGGTCACGACGTCCTTCAATTCTTCAAGAAGAAAACCACTCGTTGACCTCATCAAGCGACCGCCGGTGACCAAACCGACGATCGCCGGTGACGAACCCCCCCCCCTGGCCGGGGACGCGAGAACCCGGGACCCGCGACGGGACTCTCCAGGGACGATCCATGAACCCTGACCGACCCGGACCAGGCGGGAGGACGGCGGGTATCAAGAACAGCCAGTCCAGCAGGGAGGACTGGACTGGACGATCCAACGTCGACTCCGGAGACTTCAAGAAAGGACGCTGGGTCATGGTCCTGCTATGTTGGGGCCTGTGTTGTTTTTGTTGAGGGAGTTTTGGGGGGGGGGGTCGGGGTCCTTTGTTCCTATGTGTTTAGAAGTGATGAAGAAATGAGGATGCCCAGGTGGTTTTGTCCCGTGCCGAACTCGATTTCCTCAAGCCTTGCAGTTCCAGCCTTGCCGTCCCTCGTCCCTCACACTCACACGCTTTCGTGCGGAGTCCGGATGGATGGGTTTTCATCACCCAAGATACCCAAGGGGAGACTGAAATCTGTTGGAAAATGCCAAAATGCCTTGAGGTTTGCCCAGTCCCTTGAGGTTTGCCCAGTCCCTTGAGGTTTGCCCAGTCCCTTGAGGT